TAATTTAGAATGGCTCTGCTATCGACAATGTCTAATAATTTTGTTTAACCTTAACTTGTTTAATTTCAAATATTAAATAAATTATGCTCTACTCCCACTCAATTACCAACTATTACATTATAATTAATTAAAAATTTTTTATTAATTTTTGTTTTTTTATTATTAATCGAACCTTTTCTTGCGTTCTTAAATCTAATTCCTGTTCCTTCTTTGCCAATCGAGACGACATATCAGAATTCTCCTTCTCTAATTCATCGGCTTTTTTGCGTGCAGCTACAAGCTCTTCTTCCTTGGCCAATAGATGCACGATTTCCTTAACATTTATATCAATTGGGGCAACATCGGGATTTCTTGTAATATTGGCTTCGCTCCCCTCCGATTGCAAAACAATTTGTTGCACGATACGATCAAACAGTAACCAGTGCTGAGGATATGATCCATAGTCCACTAAAAAATAATTGTTTAAAAAAAAAATATATATATATATATATATATATATATATATTATCTATATATGGTCACATTTATACATGAGATTGTTATAGAGTAAAGAAAACAATAAATCTTGAAATATAATTGTTTAAAAATTTTATTTTAAAATAACAAAAAAAAAATGTCATCGCATTATTTGTTTTTTATTTTTATTTTTATTCTTTTTCGCAGTTCATTAACATTTACCTTAAAAGATCAAATCTATCAATGTAACAATAGTCTAGCATATAAGATAATATGAAATACCAAAATGCAAATATCCGTTTCGCGTTATTGTTAATTTCGAATTTATAATTTAAATCCCATTTTAAACATTTTTCTTTATACTTGCAATATAAAGAAAATACAACAAATCGTCAGGATTTCCGGTCGTGGGAGAAAATGTAATTAATACACTTAACGTACACTGTGTAAAATAAGAGCATACTTACATGGTAATAACATGCAGTGCTCAAGCAAACTTAATAGGTGTGGATATGCTGCGGTATGGCTGAGCTTTCGCCTTAATAGATCAAACATGGCTGTTGCACTTTTCGTGTCTACATGTTCCTTTTCAAATTTTCTCGCAAGCTCCTTCTCGTCCTCGTTTCTCACCATATCGAAAAAATCCAGATGTCGATCCAATGTTTCGTTCTCGTACTTTCTCAATTTTTCGATAATTGGCTGAATTCCCAGCATCAATAACTCGTACCTTAGGTGCAGCCTAAACTCTAGCGTCACCTGACCAGGGCCATAATTTAATACCGCGTTAATAAAAGACATGATTGCAGTTTTGAGGGACAGATTGTCCTTATAGATGCCGAAATTTTTATCCAAATCATTGATAATTGATTGAAAGCGCGTTCGCTCCGAATAGTATTGCTGGAAGTAGAGCATTGCTTCGAGGACCTTACGATGCCCACCAGGGACAAGGCACACGGCGCCGAGAATTTCCAGTACAGCGATCTTTGTCTTGATATTTTCAGTTGCTAGCGACTGAGATATCGTATTGATAGCTGTAGGATGGGCCAGGACATGAGCTCTGCCATTCTGCAAATATTTAAAGAAAATCAATGTCCTCCTATCTATACTTGGATACATATTTATCTTATATTGATAAATATTTCTGCAAATAATTATGCTTCTTGCGATTCTTAATAAGTAAAATAAAATCAACATCCAAGTATAATAACGAGTATTATGAAATAATTTATTTTATAAGGCGAATATAAGACTTATTGTTAATTTCAATATTATCATTTAATTAATGGAAAAGATAAGCGCGCGCGTGCATGTGCGCGCGTACAATCGATTGGATTGAATTATATTTGCAATTGATTAAAATTTGATGATATACTCACAGAATTGTTCATTAGTGCCTTTAAACAGCCAATAAGGCTTGTGTGAAGATTACTATTTGCTGTCTCGACATCCATGGTTTCCAACACTCGAAGAAGTGAATTTAAGCCATCTAATTCGATAAACCTTGTGACAAAACTGTGTGGTTGCGTTCGCAGAGCAGTTTTCAAAGCTTCAACGTGACGCATTTGATTAGCAACTTCTTCAGCTTCATCGGTATTTGGATCCTGTAAATGGACAATTAAATAAATATGCTTTAAAGCATAGAGGGGGAAAAAAAAATACCAACCAAGCCTCGTGTTTCTAACAAGATTTTTAATTTTATTTCGTATTTTGTAAATGGACGTAAATTAAAAAGCATTGTTAACATTAATCAAGTGTAAAACAGTCGCTGTTATAGGCTGGTAGGAGACTTTCTTAATAAATCAATTAATTTAAAGGTTTGTTTGAAGAAGAACCTCGCGCTTCGTAATTAAAATTAAAGAATTATAAAGCTCGGCTTCGAGAAAGGTGTTCCTTTCAATTCTTTATCATCGGCTAACCACTTACGCTGGTTATGGACTTAACGCGGTTTATGTAATCCTCGGGATCGCCGCTAAGATCAGTCGTCCTAAGACCTCCATTCTCAAGGGTTCCGTTGCCCTTGCGTGAACAATAGATCTGCCACTTTTTATTGGCAGGCAGAGCAAGGACGGCCTGGCGGTTAGTCTGTGTTAGGTCGAGCTCGTCAACGAGCTCCAGGAACATCTTATTGAGCTCTTCCTCGGCAGGCATCGGCAGCGTCGGGGTCATCGCTTGAAGCGTGAGTGTACCCGTTTGCTCCACCACGCAATACGTGATTTCCGGTGGCTCATCATCCTAAAAAATCGTTTTACCATTATTATAACTATTTTTACTGTTATTATTATTATAATTATAAACATTATTATAATCATCGTCATCATCGGCATCATCGTCATCATCGTCATCATCGTCATCATCGTCGTCGTCGTCGTCGTCGTCGTCGTCGTCGTCGTCTTTAAATAGTTTTTTAAAGAAAAATTATTTTAAAAAATTTTTTTAAAAAACTTCAAAAACAGTTCTTTAAATACCTACACATATAAAGTTAAAGTAATTTGAAGAATTTTGTAATTAATCACTGATCTGATCAATTATAACTTTAAATTCTTTATTATTAAATCTATAAATTGGTATTTATGTAAACTTATTTTTTTAACTTTTAAACGATAAAGTACAAATTAATTCTATTATTGTTTTATCTTTGATGTTGATCGTTCTTCTTTAAATGCCCGTATATATATATATATATATATATATATATATATATATATATATATATCTTTTATGCGAGCTACGTATAATTGTGTATCTCAAATTTGCATATTATTAATATAAAAAAAGAAAAGAAAAAAGAATACTTTTTTCAAGCTAAAACGTAGCCAATTATTCATAATTTATTCATAATTATGCATAATTGAGAAATAGCGAAGAACGGAATTTCCCAGAGTATTAAAAAAGTAAAAGTCTCGCCGATAAAGTGAAAAAAGAAAAAAGAAAAGAAAAAAAGTGATTATTTTTAAGATACATAAATAGAATTGGATAAGGATTCTTAGCTTTTATATGGGAAGATTTGTATGGCTGACTCGATCACTTAACCGTCATAGTACCTACATGAAAGCGCACGAAAGATGCCGCATTTGTAAATCTTATCTCTCATCCTAGGCATTTAATAATTCTTCCAAAATTGCGGTCGCTTTCGACTCGTAAACGACTAATTGCGGCCTCAAATGTTAATCGTTCTCGCCATCAAAATGATAAAGAAGAAATACTATTGAAGAACACTTTCATTTTATTTTCTATGAAATTTTTGTGACGAAATCCAACGGATCGCCTCATTCGTAACTCATACTTTTTTTAATATTAATTCGTACGATTTCAATAATTATACGTACGGTAAATAAAGTCATTTAAGCATTTTTGTTTTATGATCTATTAAACAAAAGGCTATAAATTTTTAAAAGACTTCTCATTCGAATGATAATTTATTAAAGTAACATCATTATCCAAAGTATCGTTATCGAAATCCACTATAAAAGGCGCAAAATTCAATTGCAATCAATTATTTTATTCTTATAATAGATCAATAGATTGACGATTTTATATCGCGATATATATATATATATATATATATATATATATATATTTTTTTTTTTTTATTCAATTAGCTTTGAGTGCATTTTTCATATTCTTTCGATATAAAGAAAAATAATACATACTTGTTGAGCTATAAATATCACTTAAAATAATATAATATAAATATATTATATCGGAATATTATTGTGAGAATAACATTTCTCTTAATTAGATTATAATTTTTCACTATTTAACTATTTTTACATTTATGATGTTGTCTTCCAACTTGCAAAATTCATAATGTATGAATGAATTTCTTCGATATTTAATGATCGTAATGAATTTTGTTCAAAAATTGCCAATCGTCTTAAAAATATTTACTCAATCATTATTATAAAATTAGGAATAAAATTAGGAATAAAATTAGGAATGAAAAAATAATAAATGGAAATTTTTATCAAAATTTTCATTAACAGGAATTTCGAACTTTTATAGAAGTGAGAAGCATTTTTATTTATCATTAATCAATTTTGAAATTAAAATCTAAATGAGAATGCACAGTTTACAGAATACAAGGAAGTGCGTATACATGTTGAACAAGCATAAACAATTTTCCTAAAAGCTACGAATGAAATAATCTAAAAGTCCTCTTATAAACTCTTACTAATAATATTATGTGGAAGTTGCTTTAGATAACAATGGTTGGCCTGTAATGGACATCAATATGTCATTCAATAATTTTATAATTTTGATAAATCTATTGAGAGGTTACCGAAGTGCCGTAAGATACGATAAAAGTATCATCGTACCGTTTTATTTTGTTCTCCGCCCTTACATACACTAGAAACTTTTTGTTACAACAGATTTGTTTGAACATCTTGGCAATTTATTATTATATACTTTATACTGCATTTCTATTCTATTCTATTACCAAGTTTCGAATAAAATTAAATATTTAAATACATTTATTCATTATGGTTAATCATAAAGCAATTTATATTAGGAAAAAATCAAAATAATAAAAATTGGCCTTTGATAAAATAAGATTATACATCTAAATATAAATTAAATAAAATTTGTTAAAATAAATAAATTAATAATGAATAATATTATTTATTACTTTACTACTGTATCAAGATTAGTTTTTAATGAACAGAGGCTGAGAGAATGAGGCAATGGGAAGAAATTGCAAATTCGATACTTCCAATTGTTATAGAAAATTTATAACGACGTTTTTTAAACATCTAATACTACTTGCATTCCTCGTGCTGAGTTCGATGTGAAAACAACAAAATTCGAAGCTCCTGTAATTTTTACCTCAGTTACATAATATTTTGACGAGTGCAAGAGGATCAGTAAAGAAAGCACACAAAGCCGCAAGTAGTTTGTACAAGCTATATTGTACCGTCTTCTCTAATTATGTAAAGTAAACAAATAAAATGTTTTAGAATATTAATCGCTGTATATTTTTATTCATCGCCTACATTTTCTATTGCTTATCGATAAATTAAATTATTAAAATACCTTTTTAAAAGGGCGGGGAGGGGAGGGGAGGGATACATTATGTAATGGAGTAAATTAAATAATAATTCATGCGACATCGCCAGTTTTGAAATAAACAAACGTATGCTTCATTAGAGTACTTTAGTTATTAGCAACTCACAGTGGCATAATCGTGGGAAGTTTTAGCGCAAGACCTTACTAATATAATTTACATCATATTTATAATTATACATTGATTGCGAATCAAGAGACTATATATGGGTTTTTTTTTTATTTTCAATCGCTCAATGAATTTTCTCTGTTATACTAAAAATTTTAAGATAACGATATAAGCTTTCAAAAAGAAAAAAAAAAAAAAGAAAAAAATATTAAGCTATTTATATTTCATTAAATAATAATATTATTTATGTGTCTTAAAAGGGAAAGAAAAAAATAATGATCATTAAACATAAAAAACAATTAAATGAATACAGACTAAGCTAGCTACACGATACAATATTATTTTCATTTAATCAAAATAAAAAGTAACTAAACATTTTAATAATAATTTTATGTGACAAAAATTTTTTTTTAAAAAAAAGTAATAAAACTCTTACGTATATATTTATTGTTTCATTACATGTTTCATTAATAATAAATTGATAAATTTTAAAATTTATAATCATATAATAATATTAAAAGAAAATTTTTTTAAACTATTAAATTAAAATAAGTATTTAAAATATTATTTCAAAATATCTGCCACTTGAATAAAAACTGGTAAATTTGCAAATATTTTTTCAATGAGAATGAAAAAATACAAAATTATTGTTCCAATATTGATTAACAGCAGTGAATATATTTATTATATACGCATGCCATAACGTTTATGCAATAAACGTGTAATTAAAACAATTATGAATATATGAAGATGAGTATAAATTAATTAGCATAAATGAATCAATATTATTTATTTGGCTACCAGAAAAATTAAAATTTGTTCTATATTTGAATATACTTATTTGAAAAATTTTTTAATTTTCCGTTCTTACAATTAGAATGTCTTGTGTTTGCTTTGTCAGAGGCTGATAATTCTTCAAATTATATTAATGTTTAGAATTCTATATTAATATTACAAAGTTATCTGATTAAGAAACTTTTGAATTTCTATAGGCGAATATAAAATAACAAATAAAAGTCTAAAGAAAATATATATTTAACCATTTTACGCCCTATACATTTTTTGCTTATTATAAAAACTTATCATAATTATAAACAATATGTATTATAATTTTTATCATTAGTGCGCTTTAATAATATTTTAATATAATTAATTCTGTCAATAGGATATAGTAAATTTTTTTAAATAATTAAATTTAATTACATCTTATCCAAGTATATCAAATTCTTCATTTGCTTAATGTCTAAAAAATTAGTTTTGATAAATAAGTTTGCCATTATGTAAAAAATGATATTATTTTTTGAAATTTTCATTTTTGCATTGAAAGTGAAATATATTGAAATCTATTTAATGAAGTAATGTGTACATAAAATAAAAAATTGTAAAGTTCAAATACTTTTTTCAATTCCAGCTTTAGTTTATACGTAGATGAAAACATATATACAACATATTCTCCGAAATTAAAAATACAATAAACATTTTATTATATCATGAATTTCCAATGTTATATTGCATGTAATATTACGAAATATTAATAAACCCTTTACAGTGATAGTTATAAATAACTTTAATCGCAAGATCGGTCTATTAGTAATAAATTTACAAATTAAGTAATAAACATGAGCTACGAAATATGCTTGCAATGAAATTATAAGCTAAAATTTTCATATTAAGACGAAAATGTTTCTTAAACCTTAGGGTCTGTTGAGTCTTGGGCTAAATTTTAGCATATCATTCTTAAAGAGATGATATTGTTAAAACGGTACTACTATATTGAGAAAGTAGGACTATTTATAAATAAAAACAGGTCAGCCACAGATAAACTCAAAAATTTGGCACGACCATAAAATCAAAATTCCCTTAAATCAATATGAGTTAAACTTTTGTGCTTATATCTGTCGTTAAATATTTTGTGAAAACCTTGCTTTTATCAAAATAAAAAATAAATGTATGGTAGTATGTACAGTTACTATGTACATCCGTTTGCCACTAGCGCGCGTTTTGCATATTATTATAGTAATTTTGTGTACAATTAATACTGTCAACAAATACTAACGAACGC